GGCAGGGCACACAGTGCTGCGAATCCTAAACCTAACTCCTACTGTCGGCATGGAAAACATTACAAGAATTCTCACCGTGGGGAAGTGGAAAAAGGAAACATGAAAACAACCACCAGCCCTGGGCTCCTAGGAGGAAAGCAGATCTTTCCAATAGGGAAGCAACAGACTGTGAGCATTACAGCGTTTGGTTTAATTTCTTGTGGTCAGTGAATTCAGCAAAAGCAAACTGAAATTTTTTATATGCCCACAGACTCCTGTAATTAGACGTCAGGAATTTTGTCTTCCACTAGACACACAATAAACACAAAACTTTGTCTTCCACTAGACACCAATAAACAGCCAACTTAGTCTTAGGAACTATAAGGAATAAAACCTAGTTTTCACACATATTTCTACATGAGAAAGAAACTAAATTATTTAGAAAGCAACAAAAGGTAGTAGCCAGAGAAAACACAGCACCTGTAAAGCACTAGCAGTTCACAGTGACCCATATACAACAGATTTCCATTACTGTGAGCCAAAACTTGCAACCGTTTGCCCTGAGAGTGTGAAGAGGTATCAGAAGGAAGTGTGAACGTTCCTGTGCGAGGATTATGAATCTGCGTCAGAAGAGACTCAGCAGAGAGGGAAGCTCAGGGCTTTCCCTGCACAGTCAGTAGCATAAAATTGTTTCCCTTCTTCCACAGATAACTTGGCAGTGACATTTGTTCAACATCAGCTAAGTGACAGTAGCTGAGAGGGCAGCTAAAGCCCAGCCAGGGCAGCACCACACAGCTTGAAACACCTTTGCAACGTAGATTTAAGACTCTGTGTTCTTCATCCCAGACTTTGCTGTCATTAGTGTAAATAAAGGTTTACAACGGCCTTCTCCAGCTAATCGCAACATGGTAATGTGGCATTAATAACTTAATACAGTAAGTATTAACTGAAAGACAATCAGTATTGGCACAATGTTTACATTTGCTAACCATTACAGAGTGTAGTATCTCCAATTTTTACCCTGCTAGTAATTCAGATGTGGAGCTCATTACACAGCAATTGACATTTCCCTTCGGAACCTGCACCCTGCTCTCCATGGGCCCTGTGCCTGCCCAGGGCGACCAGCCCCTGTAACTGCTCACTGATTTAAATTCTCTGCAGAAAAGCCATGGCATTTAGCTCACTTGAGGCTGCAGCCACTGTTTCAAACACCATATCCGAAAAGCTGCAAGGGGGATACTGAAAGAGGGGCCTCCCATAGCACCTACCGAAAGGATGCGGGTCGCCCAGCCTTGCTCTCAGGCCCATCTCCCCAGCCCCACGCCTCTGCGCTAACTTCTGGCAAGGCAGGGCGCGACGCACCGGCCCTGGCTGTTGGGATAATTTAAGTACGTTTACTTACAGACTTGGGTGCAATTATTTAGCTTTAGCACCGCAGCGACAGTCCCGCCCGTGATGCGTGGGGGTGGGGGTCGCGGTGCCCGACCCTACACCGAATAGCCGCGGCCGGGCCGGGGAGAGGGGCGCCCCCCGCCCGCGCCCCGCGCCCTACCTGACCCGTGCTGCTGGCGGAGGATGGCGGCTTGCCCGGGCGGCGGCGAGGCGGAGGA